GGGCGGAGGGCGCTGCGGGAGCCCCCTAAGCGCGGCCACAGGTCCGCCTCGCCGTTGTGCAGGAGCACGAAGCGGCGCTGTGACCGCAGAGGCAGCATCTTCTGGTTGCGCAAGCTCTTCTGAAAGGTCTCGATTGCCAGGTCTGGGGAGGCGTGGGAGGGGGTGAGTTGGTTGGGGGGACATGGGAGGGGCAGGGACTCAGCCTCCCCAGCATCATGGTTGCGGGGCTGGGGTGGAGGTTCTGAGGACAGAGGAGGAGGTGAGGGAGTGCTGAGAGGCGGGACCCAGGTGAGGATGAGGTGGCCCGCACCAAGTTAGTGGGGAGGTTGGGCAGGGACGCCTTTCTTCTGCAGGGCCTGAGCAGAGGGTGGGGTTTCCACGTAGGCCCTCTGGATGTTGGAGACCTAAGTTTGTAGGCGTCTGAATTTGGGGAGAGGGTGGGGTGGCACATGCAAGCCTGGGCAAGCAGTGAGGGGCCAGTTTGAGGGTTCTGGGGGCTGCACGAGGGCCTCACCCAGGGTCTCCATGACCACGCCTGGAATCACCTCCTTCAGGACTTCACAGTTGGTGTGCAGGGCAGGGTTGGAATTCATCTCCAGCAGCCACACCTGGGCCCAACACTGGTTAGCATGGTCCCCACACATCACTTGGCCAACAGGAGGCTGAGGCCCTGGTCCCCATTAAGTCGAGTGATCCTGGGCAGTCCCTTCTTTTCTGTGGCCTCACTCCTATTTGCCCAAGGGGCTAAGGCTCTGAGGGTCTGGCCTTGGGGGGGGCTGCAGGAGCTTGGCAGGGGGTGGGGGAGTCTGACTGTAGACTCCACCCCATGGGCTTGCCTGAGTGGTCAGGATATGCACACATGGCCCCTGTCTCCTTGCACCTGCCTACCAAACCCCACCTGCCCTAGGAAACCTCAACAGTACCTTGAAGTTCTCATCAATCAAGAAGTCACAGCCAATGAGGTCAAAGTAGCCCAGCTTGCAGTGGAGCTTGGACTTGACAGCCTGGAAGCAGTGGGCCATGATTTGCTGCATCCGCTTCTGTGGGTGGGGCAGGGAGGGGGTGACTGGATGTCACCCCCTGATTACACCTCCCAGGCCTGAGCAGCCACAGCCACACCCCTCACCAGCACTCCCACCTGTGTCCTCATCTGCTCTCTCCTATCCCCTCACTTGGGCTCCCACCTGTGTCCTCACCTGCATAGCTACACCTGCTCACACTTTCACACTGAGTCACAGGCTCACAGCTAGAAACTCATTCACTCTTGTTTTATTCCTTCAGCAAACACGGGAAGCTTCTCCTTCATGGCAGGTACTGGGGTTCAAGAGTGAAGAGAACTTTGAGCATCTCACTCAGAGCAGGAGAGATAGAAAACAAATGTGACACGTAAATCACTGTATATTTTGGGCAGCATATCAGGCAATAAGTGCTGATGAAGAAAATGAAGCAGGGTTAGGGGTTGGGGGGTTCTAGGGTAGTTGTTGCAAAAAGGGGTATGGGGTGTTGGGCCTCATTGAGGAAATAGTGAGCAGACTGAAAATTGAATGGAAGGTCTGTGGGATAGGGCATGGGAAATTTGGGGGAAGAGCAACAGCTGTAAGTGCAAGCATGCCCAAGGTGTTGGGGGAACAGAGTGAGGCTGTTGTGGCTGGAGCAAGCTGGAGGGGCAGTAGGAAATGAGTCCAGAGTGGTGCCAGTCATGTCATGGGGGCATGGGAAGCACCTTGCCTTTCATGCTGATATCAGAGCTGTTGGAAGGTGGAGCACAGGAGGGGTATAACTAATTCATGCCTAATAGGGTCGACTGGCTGTATGCTGAGAGAAATGGAGGGGCTATGAGGAAGTTGTTGCAATAATTCAGATGCTAGAGGTAGTGGGCTGGATTCTGAATATATTTTGAGGTAGAGCTAACCTGATTGGTTTATGAATGGGTTATGAGCTAGGGAAAGAGTTATCTTTAAGTGTTTGGTCTGAGAATCTGGAAGGATGAAGCCCCCATCAACTGAGAAGAGGAGGAGAACCATGGAGTCTGAGATGTTTAAGAGCTTGCAGATGGGGTGTTGATAGGCTCTGGGATATAAGGCTCAAGTTCAGGAGAGAGGTCAGGGCCAGAGGTTTAATTGTGGAGCCAGAGGACTTTCATTACCAATGGGTGCAGATAAAGAGCAGAGCCCTGGGCTTCCAGAGAGCAGTAGTTGGGACATGGGGGGCCAGAACAGCAGGCCAAGAGGGAATGGGCAAGGTCCTGGAAGCCATAAGGAAAGAACACCAGGGAATGAACAGTTGGTCCAAACTGGCTGACAGATCAGGGAAAAAGAGGACTGGGAACTGACCCCTGGGTTTGGCAACACAGAGGTCACTGGTGACCTCAATGAGTGTCTCAGTGGCAGAAGAAGGCTCACTGGAGTGGGTTCAAGGGTTCAGCAGAATGGCAGAGAAAGGACACCTGAAAATAAGTCACTCCATAAAAGCCCCCCCCCCACAAAACCTGGCAAAAATAAGCAGAATCAACTTTTTCAGAACTCTGGAAACTAACCAAAGGCTTTCAGCAACCTGAGAAGTGCTTATGAAAGAAAAATCTTGAATCTTGGTAAGAAGAGCAAGCTTTGTAGCATTTTAACTTGCCCTAGCTTTATCCCTACCTCCCAGCTCAGTGCTAGGCTTGAAAAAAGTCTACATTCTCAGTACTGGAGATAGAATGGACTTGACTTGCAAAGAATTGTAGCTATTTGTTGTGACTCTATGCTAGCCTCCCAGAAGACCTCACTTGAAAAGAACTAAAGGAAAATATGAGAATGATATCTTACCAAATAGAGAATATCAGTGAGTGAAGAGACAGATATTATAAAAGGAAACCACATAGAAATCTGGATTTGAAAAGTATAGTAAATAAAAAATAAAATTCACTAGAGGAGATAAACAGTTGTTTGAAGATAGGTCAATTAAGATTATCCAGTCTGAGGAACAGAAAAAAGGGAATGAAGAAAAATAAACAAAGCTACAGAGACTTGTGAGACACCATCAAGCAGACCAACATACATAATGGGAGTCCCAGAAGGAGAAGGGAGTAAGAGGCAGGAAGACTAGTTGAAGAAATAATGGTAGAAAACTTCCCAAATTTGATTTAAAAAAAAAGAAGTCTACACACCCAAGAAGATCAGTGAGCTCCAATTAGGATAAATTCAAAGAGATCGACCATACCTTAAGCAAACTTTCAAAAGACAAAGAGAGAATGTTGAAATCAAGAGAGAAGTGATAAATCATAAGGGGTCCTTGATAGGATTCACAGCCAACTTCTCACCAGAAACCATGGATTCCAGAAGACAGTGGGATGACACTCAAATGCTGAAAGAAAAACTGTCAACCAAGAATTCTATATCTGGCAAAACTATTCTTCAGAAATGAAGGAGAAATCAAGACATTCCCAGATTTTAAAAACCACAGGTTACCACTAATAGAACTGCCCTAGGGTCCTTCAGGCTGAAATGAAAGGGCACTAGACAATAAGTTGAATTCATGTGAAGAAATAAAGAGCACTCATAAAGGTAGCTACATAGTTAAATTTAAAAGTCATATAAAGGAATTTTTTGGTAATTTCTTTTTGTCTTTTATTTAAAAAAACAACTAAATAAAACAAAAATTATAAATCAATATCGATGGGCACACAATGTATAGAGCTGTAATTTGTGACAATAACAGCATAAAGGGAGGGAAAGAACTATATAGGAACAAGGGTTTTTGTGTTTTTTTAATACTTTTGAAATTAACTTGGTATTAATCCAAACTAAATTGTTATAAATTAAGAGGTTAATGGCAATCCTCAGGGCAACAGCAAAAAAAAAAAAAATAATAATAATAATTAAAAAACATATAATAAAAGAAATGACACTAGATATGGTACACTAGGAAATATGTATTTAATACAAAAGGAGGGAGTAATGAAAGAATTGAGAAGCAAAAAAGATACGACATGTAGAAAACAAATGGAAAAATAGAATATGTAAGTCCTACCTTCCAGTAATTATATCAAATGTAAATGGATTAAACTTTCCAATTAAACAACAGAGATTGGCAGAATGCATAAAAAAACACAACCCTTGATATCTTATCTGTAAAAGATTCACTTTAGATTCAAAGACACAGGTTGATAGTGAAAGGATGGAAAGAGGTATATCATACAAACAGTATCAAAAGAGAGCTGGAGTGGCTAAACTGATATAGATTTTAAGACAAAATAAGAAAATAGATTTTAAGACAAAAATTGTTACTAGAGAAAGAAAAGGACATTGTATAATAATAGATCCAGAAGATGTAATAACTGTAAACATATGTGCACCTAACAACAGAGCCTCAATATACATGAAGCAAAAACAGAATTGAAGGGCAAAACAGACAATTCAATAATAATAGTTGGGGACTTCAATATCACACTTTCAGTGCTGGATAGAATATTTAGACCAAAGATCAACAAGTAAAGGGAAGACTCAAACAACACTATAAACCAAGTAGATCTAACAGACATCCACAGAACAACCACAATAGCAGAATATATATTCCTCTCAAGTACACATGGGATATTCTCCAGGATAGACAAAATGTTAGGACATAAAGCAAGTTTCAGTAATTATGAAAGCGTTCAAAACATACAAAGTATATTCTCTGACCACAATGGAATGAAATTAAAAATCAACAAGAGAAGGAAAATTGGAAAATTCACAAGTCTTTGGAAATTAAATAGCACACTCTTTAGCAACAAACGAAATGAAAGTAGAACATACAAAATCTTATGCAACGCAGTAAAATCAGTGCTTAGGGGGAAATTTATGGCTGTAAACACCTATAGAAAACAAGAAGAAAGATCTCAAATGGATAACCTAGCCTTTAACCCTAATAAACTAGAAAAAGAAGAGAAAATCCAAAGCAAGCAGAAGGAAGGAAAATAATGGCTATAAATGGAATAGAGAATAGAAAAACAATAGAGAAAATAAATGAAACCAAAAGCTGGTTCATTGAAAAGATTGACAAAATGGACAAACTCTTAGCTAGATTGACCAAGAAGATGGAGAGAAGACTCAAGAAATCAAGAAAGACCTTACATAGAGAGAAAAGAATCATAAAAAGAATTATAATTATTCATAGAACACTATGAACAGTTGTATTCCAATCAAATTAGACGACTTGAAAGAAATGGACAAACTAACAGCTTGACCCAATAAGAAATAGAAAATCTGAATAACCTATAACAAGTAAAAGTTGAGTTAGTCATAAAAAAAACCCTTCCACAAAGAAAAGCCCAGGATTGGATGGCTTCACTGGTGAATTCTTCCAAACATTTGAAGAATTAACACTAACTCTTCACAAACTTTCCAAAAATAGAAGAGAAAGAAACACATCCCAAGCATGCAAGAGAGTGCTTATGTGTGCTTATGTGTGCAGACACAAAAATACTCATTGAAGTACTAGCAAGCTAACTCTAGCAGCATATTTAAAGGTTAATAAATCACGTCTGAGTGTGACTTATGCCAGAAATGCAGAGTGATTCTATACATGAAAATCAGTCAAAATAATACAGCACATTCATAGAATGAAGGAAGCAATAACTATCAAAACAGTACACCAGCACACGCATCAGTGGAATATGATTGATAGGAATTCTAGAGAAACCCAGACATATCTGACCAATTGATTGTCAACAGTGTGCCAAGAACAGTCTCTTTGACAAGTGGTGCTGGGAAAGCTGGACATCCACACACAAAAGAATAAAGCTGAACCCCTCCCACCATATACAAAAATTAACTCAAAATGGAGCAGTGACCTAGCTGTAAGAGCTAAAGTGATAAAACTTAGAAGAAAACACAGGTACAAATCTCTATGACTTTGGATTTGGCAATGGATTCTTAGATATGAATTAGATGAATTGGATTTCCTCAAAATCGAAAACTTTTGTGCAAGAAAAGGACATTATCAAAAAGTGAAAAGACAACTCACAGAATGGGGGAAAATATGTGCAAATCACATATTTGATAAGGGTCTAGTATCCAGAATATGTAAAAAGCTCTTAAACAGACCTACAAATGGCCAATAAGCACGTGAGAAGATGCTCAACATTATTCGCCATTAGGGAAATGTAAATCAAAACCACAATGAGGGGCGCCTGGGTGGCTCAGTTGGTTGAGCGACTGCCTTCGGCTCAGGTCATGATCCTGGAGTCCCGGGATCGAGTCCCGCATCGGGCTC